GGTGGTTAAGAATGGTCCTGGACCTGGCAGCTTGCTTTGTCACTTTCCCTCTCTCTCGCTCTCTCTGGTCAAATTAAAATAAATACATGAATAAAGTTAAATAAAATAATTATTAAAAAAAAAAGAAAGAAAGAAATCACCCCTCAGGGGGAAGGCCACGACGCAATCCTGGCTCCTCCTTTTTCCTCTCAGGATTTTAGGCATGCACGCATTACATGCACGAACACCCAGCCTGAGTGTCAAGCCTCTGGGCCATGACTCGAACCATGGTGGGCCATGTGGGAGTCCAGTGGCTTAACCACCATGCCATTTGCTGGCTTCCAAACTCAACTAGTCTTGGATATTTCTATAAGCAATGCAGTAACATATGAAGATAATGCTTAAAGTATTTCTTATCCAAACCCTTAGCTCAAAAAGGCAACCTTAGCAGGCGGTGTGATGGTTGAGGCACCAGACTGCCATATGACTGACTGTGGTTTAAGCCCTGGGCCTGGTGGCTTGAGAATCATGCCAGGCACATGTGCATGCATGCCACCCAAAATCCTAAAAAGAGTATAAAGATGGGATTGTGGCATGGCCATCCCCCCTGGGGGATGAGTTCTCACATTCTCTGTCTCCAGTGAGTGTATGCTCCCTATAGCAAAAACCTAAAAAATTATAAAAAATTATTTTAATTAAAAAAAGTTTAAAAAGGCAACCTTACCTTAATGTGTTAGGGTGAACAGTTCATTTCATTGTCCTCTATCTGCCCAAGAAAAAGAAAAGGGACTAAGATGTTTGGTTAACCATTTCTATCATGATGCTTGGTTTTACCCAATGACTTATAGCTACTAGAAGGCAAGAAAAGAGAATTTTGGCTCCAGAAACCATGTGATTTAGGGGCAGAAAGAAGCACACTGGGAAAGGGTCGATGTGGACTCAGAGATAGGCTTCCAGACCTCAGGGGCCAGCAGGGTGTGGCGCTGAGGGGCAGCCAGGGGTAGGGGCAACATATCCACTCTGCGAATGGGGCAGTCCTGGGACCGGGTCTCCTTGGCTAGCCGCCATTTCTTTTTCAACGTGCAGGCCTCCTGGTATGGTGGTGAGATGGGGGGCTGTGTGGGTGGAGTGTACTTGTACTCTGAGCCATCCTCTAGCTGCAGGGACATAAGAGGCAGGGAGATGGTGAGGACCCGGAAGCCTATGACCTCTTACCCCCACCCACCTACTGGTGACCAGGCACTCACATCCAGCGGGTAACTGCGATCCGAATCATAGGAGCTCAGGTCTCCGCAGGACACAAAAGGCACGATGATACGGGTGGGGCCATCTAGCTGGTTGAAATCAGGGTCTTAGGAGCAGGGAGAGAGAAGCCTGAGGACAGGGCTGGGATGCTTAGGGCTAGTCCTGGCTCAGCTGCAGCACGGCTGTCAGATCATTCCCCAGCTCCATTCTCACCCCTCTACCCCTCGTTCATTCAATTTAGATCAGCTCCTCATAACTGACCCCCTTCCCCAAAGTTCATTTATTTCTCCCATGAGCAAGAGACAGAGAAATGGAAAGACAGTACTCCCAATGGGGTTCTGACACCATAATCCATGCCCAGTGCACTCATGCAGGTCTCCAGATGTGAACCCAGGCTGCCTCCCTTCCTTGTGGGCCAGACTTGCAGACCATCACACTACCACTGTGCCAACTGTCCAGCCCCGAGAACCACCCCTTCTAAACGTTGGCCCCTGCTGTTTTCACACTTCCGTCCACCTGACATTCTATTATATGCTGTCTGAACCCTGTCTCCCTCAAATGATCTCCACAAGGGCAGGCTCTTTGCATTTTCCCACTTAGGGTCATGCTAAAGACTCTCATGAGACAAAAATTCCAGACAGGGGCGAGGTTTCCACCTGGAGCATGACTCTGGATGCTTCTGGATAGTACTGTCATCAGGCCCAAGAGTTACTATCGGGAGACTGACTGGGTTAAAGATCTTCTACGGACAAAATATATGTAAAGAGGTGGAACTTCCTTCAGAAAGGAGGACCAAGGATTCTCTTGGGATAGGATCCCCAGAAGGGTACAGAATCTCTACCAGGGAGTGATGCTGAGGACCTAAGGAAGGCAGAGTTGCCCTGGGACAGCCCCATGCTCTGGCTCTCACCGTAAGAGTGGTCCAGCAGAGGTTTGGTCAGGTCTGGCATGAAGCCCTCAGGAGGATCATAGCCCTGACAGACAGCGAAGGCCTCTGTGGGGAGAACCAGGAGAGAAGGGTAACTGTCACTTCCACCCCATATGGGTGGCACCCCTGGGGTCCTCCTCCACCTGCCTGGCCCCTCTACTCTACTGACCGATGCTGGAATTCCGGCTGCTCCTGGGCTTGGCACAGAGCACGCTGGAGAAGAAGACACGCAGCTGGCTATAGAGCAGTGTCACGTCTCGGCCTCGGAATATCTGCAGGGCAAGGATGAAGGGGTGAAGGCAGCCCTCAGGGTCCTCTCTCTATACTCGACTGGGTTCCCCAAGGCTTACCTTGGCCACGAAACAGCCCCCTGGCTTCAAGACATGTGTCGCAATGTTCAGAGCCTGTGGGCAGGACAGATGGCTGAGGCTGCAGTGGAGACAGCCAGGAGGGGGCCAAAGTAGGACAGGGGTGGCCAGGGTTACTCACAGCTAGGAGCAGCTGGGCCTGCATGTACTCATCGACATCATGGAGGCCTGTTACTGTGGCAAGAGGGGACGGCATTAGGATAGCAGCTGGTTCTACACACCTTGTACCAGAGGGATTAGAAAGTGAAAAACATTTCCCAGCCACTCTAACTGTGGATGCAAACTGCCATCTGCCAACTGGATGAGGATGAGTAGTCTGAACTCTTGGAGACTTGTTTCCATTCTCAAAACCATTTCCTATGCAAACATCATTATCCTGTCCACTTCCAGGCTAGCCTGCTCCTCTGAACCCCGGGTCACAGATGAGACACCACACCCCCACCATGTCTAAAACCAAACTCCGACCTACCTTCCTGAACCTGCACCTCCCACCACCTTATCCACCTCACCTGAGCCTTCTAGTCATTTAGGTTGAGAACCTTAGCTATCTTTGATGCCGCCATCACCCTCCCCACAGCACCCCCATCCTCTCCTCACACACACATTCCAAGCATAAGCAAATCCTGTCCGCTCTACTTGCAAAAGACCCCCCCCCCCCACCCCC